ACAGCTGCTTATTATCACTGCATATGGATTAACACATATTAACCACAGTGGCCCCTTTGACTTCAGTAACTGCTGGAGGATAAACGTCCAAGGATAGTATAGAGTGTACGCAGATCTTAGTTAAGATTGGTAGTGAGAGGGAGGGAGGGAGGGTGGATAAGGTAAGATTAAATATTAGATAGAGTTTGAAAAGGAAAAACCCTCAATGTGGGCAAAATTGGACGACTCCAGTTTTACAGATTTTAGAGATTGTTAGAGCTATGGAAGGTGACAGTTATGAATTAAAAAGAGTGGGCCAAGGGTAAAGGTGCTTGTCACTAAATCTTAAAACCTGAGTTTTCAGATCCACAGGACTCACATAGTGGAAGGAGAGAATTAACTCCTGCAAGTTGTTCTCTGACCTCAACATGTGTGTTCCCCAGCACAAATAAATAAAAATGTAATTTAAAAAAAAGAGGAGGGGATAAGAATGAGAGCAAGAATAAAAATGGTGGGAGTAAGAAGTCCTGTGATGTGGCCATAGAGTACAGAAGGCTTCATAGTAAACCAGGTGGGGAAGCGTGAACATCAATGCTATAACCCGAGTGGACAGTGCACAGAGTCATCAAGAGACTCACGTGGGAGGGTGGAATTTAAAGAATAGAAAATAAGGAATGGAAGAAGGTTATGGAATGAATCACTGCCATAGCTACACACATTGGAAAGGTGGAACTCTCAGCTCTCTCTGGCTCTAGCAGGCTCTACTGGTGCTCTGGTGAAGAGGAATGAATGGGCACTGTGGGCCTCGGCCCGCTTGGTGCAGGAGTTCTGGCATGGGAGGGAGGGAGGGAGGGAGGTCCGAGTTCTTTCTGGGTGCTTTCCTCAGTCCCTTCACTTCACCACGGCCTCTTCTGGTCCTGAGGGCCAGTGCATGGCCACTTTGTAAAAGAGAATGTGAGCTGTTTCGACTAAATCAATGTACATGTCTCCTCCCACTGGTCCAGTCTCGGATGTGATTAGGGACAGAGTGGCCTGTGATCAGACTTCTCTCTTCATGAAGATTTTCATACAGAGAGGCTGTCTGTACTGGCATCATGGCCCTGAGAACACCTTCCCTTCAGACATGCAGAAAACCTCTTGACTCAGTTCTATTACCACCTGTACCAAGAAGATGCAGGCATGGGGTATACGTCTATGTGCAGGTGGTCCCTTGGCTTGCCTCCCCTAGGTGCATGTGGCACAACTGGGTGTCATATTTTCTGCATAGGAAAACCCTTTTTGAGAATTTTTATCTAGGGTTGGTCATATGATACCCAATCTGCCATGTCAAACAAACTCTAGAGGGAAGGCAGAGTTAATATGATGATCAGTAGGTTAGGTACAGGGAGCCTTCCTGTCGGCCAGTGATTTGGATACACAGGAAGTTGAAATTCCAGCTTCCTCACAGTGCTACACACCAGCTGCTAAGTTAGACTGGTCATGGCCCAGGAACTGTACTATACATTCTTTATTGCTCAGGAACCTAACATCCACAATTCCTAGAGATGGTATTCTTCTTCCTGACGGGCTCATTCCGGTCATATTTCAACACTGTTAGAGTTGAGGTCAGTGTTATGTATACAGACTTAGATTTTCTTTTTCCACTTAATCTTTTAAAAATTTGTAAATTCATGATGGCTGGAGAGATGGCTCAGCGGTTAAGAGTACTGGCTGCTCTTCTAGAAGCCAGGGTTCGGTTCCTGGCACCCTCATTGAAGCTCACAACAGTTTATAACTCCAACACTAGGGGATCTAATGCCCTCTTCTGGCTTTCATGGACATTAGCACATATGTGGTACACAGACATACATGCAGGTAAAACACTCAGTGAGTGACAGTGTCTGCAATACAGGCCTGACAATATGCGTTTGATCCCCAGAACACATGTATAGATGAAAGGAGAGAACCAGCTGCAGATAGTTGTCCTTTCACCTCCACACATGTACACTTCCTTACATCATACACATGGACACACTACTACTATGAAATAACTAAACACAATAAATCCATTACATTGACAAAATCACATGTATTTATGAAAATTGTCTTTTCTAAAGCCAAGAATCATAAGGCATTGTTTTACATGTTTATAAATCTTTAAAATTTTTTGGTTTTATGGGCAAGAACTGGAACCTCCTTTCAGTCTGGTGTACCCTGTGTGTGTCACATGGTCCCAGAATCTCCCTTGCACCTGCTGGAGATAGCAGGCTGAGATTGTAGTGCTCCCAGTAAGTGATGCCTGGAGAGTTGAGGAGCCCAGCCACTGTGGAACTGGTGGCATAGCAGTTTAACTGGAGGAATGCACTATGTCCACCGGTATGCATGTCTATTCTTATACACCTTCAGCAAGCCTGGTAGCAACATCATCATTTGTTGTATTAGCTTCAGGTTCTTTTGCTGTATTAGGATCTGGTTCCATGCCAGTGGTGGTGCACGCCTTTAATACCAGCACTTGGGAGGCAGGTGGATTTCTGAGACCAGCTAGGCTGGGCTATAGAGCAATTTCCAGGACAGTCAGGGACACACAGAAAATCCTGTCTCAGGGTTGGGGGCAGGAAGGGGGAGATCCAGGTTCCAGACCACAAAATCCACCTTTTTTTTTTTTTAATTTTTTAAAATTTTTTGCTGAATGTCGTTTATTGAAGGAGGGAGGAGGTCTTAAATACAGGCTTACAGCATAATGGGAGAACCCCAGAGGGCAAAAGTTCGCTACCGATGTTTTACAATCTTGCATCTAAGCTGTTAACACCCCTTATGCAGGATACACAGACAAGGAACTTCCCTTAAGCATTCAGGAGGGTGGAACCCGGCAGGGAATTAGCATAGGGAGGATATCAAGGTCAAGGTCAGCAAGCAAGGCAACAGTTACCCAAAACGGGGGCCAGGGACCTACAGGTCCCCTTTTACTAGAAAATGAGCTTCTGACTTAGGTTGCATGGGACGTCATCAGGTCACCTTACCCGTCATGGAGACGCCTGCCCAGAGCCACACAGGCGCTCTGTCTTAGGTTGGTGAGTGTCCCCCAGGTATTACCCATCTCTGAATACTCATTATCATACAGGCTCAATCGTGTGTGAGCTGCAGAATTAACTGCTGCCAAAGATCTCAAAGTGGCACTGGGCTTGCAATCTGTATGTTCGACACAGAAAAGACCAACAGAAGTCCTAACCCACCCATAGCCAGTAGACTAAAGGCAACTGAGCCATTCCCTTCCTTAACAAGCCTTATTGCAAATTGGAGTCCTTGTAAGATGGTATCCCAGAAGCAAATGGATCTTGAGTTTATAAATTTATAATTTTCAAAGCCAATTGAATTGTCTATAACTATTGAATTAAATTTATCATGCCCAATAGAATGAAAGATTAACTAACTGTGGTAGCTACTTTTGCTGCCAGGGTCTCCACTGTGCTAGCTGTAGTAAGCAATTATGAAATGGTAATCCCAGAAACAGTAACAGCAGTGGCCGCCACTGCTATAACAGCAACAATGGCAACAGCAATGTCAAATTCTCTTCTGGAGCATGTGGGCATCCACTGGCATGGATATAACTCCAGGAACACGAACCACCAAGGCCCATTTTTCTTGATCCCAGTACGACTTAAGCTGGTAGCTCTGCAAAAGAACAACTAAGAACCATAAAGAAAAAACAGGCAGCTCACAAGGAGCATAACTAATGGTCTCATAATGGCTACATTCAGACTCATAAATTTTAAGGTATCTTCAAAGGGGGCTAATTGAATTTCAGGAGGCCAATAAATGTTGCACAGAGCCACTCCTGAAAAGTAGGTACTACACCAGCTTGAAGAGGATTGTGAAGATGAAAAGGCTTAGCTGGCATGCTACTGTTAACAAATGGAGGTCAGTGACCTTCAGGGTTATCCTTATTCTCTAAGGTGTCTGGGTGACATGTTCTCAAACATACTTGAAAGAGCAGTTACCATACATTACCTTCTATAGAATCCAACCGCATGGCTACAGTTCCTAGGCTTAGGAAAATCCACCTTTTGAAAGCCATAACTCAGTGGGTTTTAGTATATTCAGTAGAACAGTGCAGTCACTGATCTGCATCCTGTCTCCTTGGATTTCCCTCTTCTGGACTTTGCATGTAGATAGAGTCCTAGAATACATGACTTTGGGGACTAGTGAAATGGCTCAGTGGGTGAAAGCACTTGCTGTGCAAACCCAGTGATCTGAGTCTGATTTGCAGATACCATGGTCAAAGGAAAGAAAAGACTCCTGAAAGGTGTGCTCTAACCTTCACATGTGCAACACACACAGACACACAGTGTAGCCTTTGGGTCTGTCTTTTTTTATTTGGCTCCCTGCTTTTGAAGTTTAGAAGTGTGGTTATGTGTGCCTAAATATTCATTTTCATGTTTAATTATAGACCTCTGTATAGGTAGGTCTTTCATCATTGGATGGATATGTGGGATATGTCAACATTCATCTATAGATAGCAAGCATCTGAGTTTTGGCATGGATCTGTTTTCTCTTTTCGTGTGTGTGTGTGTGTGTGTGTGTGTGTGTGTGTGTGTGTGTGAAAAATAGGAATCGCTGGGCCACATGAAAACTCTTTGTCCACAGTGTGTGTAGAATAGCTAGAATCCTTTCATGGTGACTACACAGTCTTTTATTTTAGCCGTTCTGGAGTCCGTGAAGTGGTGCTCACTTGATTTTGATTTGTGTTTCTCTAAAGTGTAATGCTGTGAAACATAGTCTATTGTGATTCTTCAGTTTGTCTCAGCAGCCTTTTTCCTTGCTTACTTAGACTAGTGAAATCTCGTTGGCACCTGATGTTCTATCAAGTGGCCAACCATAACTTTTTAAAGTAAGGAGGCTGTGCTGGACTCGTTTTAGCTTTTCTTAGAAGTGGGTGCTATTGGACCCTTACTGCCTTGGAATAACACCTGCCTATGGGGCAGTTACGGTGACCTGGGGTGTAAGATTGTCATTCAGTGTTTCCATCTCTTCCCACTCCCCAGGAGCTGGAGAAGTGTGATGCCAACCACTACATCATTCTGTTCCGAGACGCGGGGTGCCAGTTCAGGGCGCTTTACTGCTACCAACCTGACACTGAAGAAATCTACAAACTCACTGGCACGGGGCCAAAGAGCATCACCAAGAAGATGATTGACAAACTGTATAAATACAGCTCAGACCGAAAGCAGTTTAACCTGATCCCAGCCAAGACCATGTCCGTCAGTGTGGATGCACTCACAATCCATAACCACTTGTGGCAGCCCAAGCGGCCCACAGTGCCAAAGAAAACCCAGACTCGTAAGTGACCATGGCAACCAGGACTGAGAGGATGCACTGGTGGGATCCCTATTTATTATTTTCATCCATTTGGTACGAAGTGTGAGGAGCCACGGACAGTTTTTTACAGAGGTTCCTACAGAACAGAGAAGATCCTCTCACCCCTGCGCACATGGATGCTGGGCATGGAATATACAGGAGTGAGTGCTGTGCTTTCGTGGGCACAGCTGCTGTGGCCCTGCTGACCACTGAGATCCCCAGAATAAGGGACATCATGGAGTGAGGTCCTGGGCTGTGGCCCCCTCACTTGAAGTTCTTCAGGATAAGTTAAATGTGATCTGCTCTCTGGCCTCCCTCACCCACCCCTTTGCACATTGCCTGATGCCCCACGTTGGCCAGCTGTAATCGTGCGTGATTATAGGGCCGAGGCTCTCTCTCGGGTCAGGGTGTTTGAATGTCTTCATAAAAGGAGTTCGTATGGGAAATCTTTTTCATTTTAGAAATTGTATGATATTTATTGACTGTGTCTACTGCCAACCTTTATATCCAGTTCTAAGATTTCTGAAAAAAAAAAAAAATCCTGTTCCTTGCTGCTCAGAAAAAGTTTACTGAAAATGCCAGTTCACTAAAAGCACTGAAATCAGCAAAGTTTGTCTTCTGCTAAAATGACGTTTACATATTTGGAGTGATTATTTCTGCCACACAGTCGGGAGGGTTGTGGGTACTGCTAGCTGACGCTGGCCTCGTTGGGAGCAGGCAGCCTAAGCCGGCTTCAGCCACCACTGGTTAGGTCTGGGGAATGTGCTGATTGGTTCACTTTAATAATAAAGGCAGATTTTGGTATAGTAGTGTACTTTCCACCCTGCGGCCGCCGCCGGTTCCTTTGTGGTGTTGTGATGTCCTGGCTTGCCTGCCGTAATCCTTGCTTCTGGAGGAGCAGCATGCTCAGTGGGGTGTGCAGTCTCAGGTGAGGTTGGTAATTCTTCTTTGTTGCCTCTTTAAAAACTCGGTGGTTATTTGCAGTTATTTCAGAATGATGTAGCTGCTTCGGGTCCTTTTCTCCTGGTCCCTGTGCTGGTTGACTCCATCCGAGCAGACATTCCTGGGGAGCAGAGGTGCCCAGCGATGGATCAGCTGTGGGAAGACCCTGGAGTCTTAGTTTTGCACATTTCTTTTTGAGAGTGTTACTTGAATCTGTTTGAATTGCGGGAGAGAATTGAGGTAATAGAGGAGACTTGATGAGTGTCACCACTGGCAGGGCCAGGTAGACAGAGGGAAGGAGCATAGGGCAGAAACTAGAGGGCAGGAGGTGGTCCTCCTCCTCTTCCCTGGCGACTGTGTATCCAGTCGGGGTGGCACTGTGTGAGCATTAAAGTCTGTGACCGCCTGTCACCAACTGTCCCCCGTGTGTCTTCATTTCTCACTGTGCACTTGATGTTACCATATTTATTTTAAGGAAGCACTAAAATGTAATAAAGTAATGAGCTGGCTTTCTGTTACCCGTGTGTGTGGTCGTCACAACTCCTTCTGCTGACACTGTCCCCAGCTCCTGGCTTCCAGGCGCTGCACATGACTTTTGTGTTGCCTTTGAATTTGATTATTTTCCATGAAGAGTTGGAAGACCTGGTGTAGAGCCAGGAAGTTGCATATCTTCCCAACTTCTGATGTGATGGGTCAGCACGTGGCCTGTCCTGAAGCCCATCTCAGCACGCAGGGTCTGGAGGAGAAGTACAGCGGCTTGTGGACGGCTGAGAAGCACCCCTGCCTCTGTGTGCCATGGCACAGCAGCCGATCTTGTTAGGGTGTGGTGGTGATCTGGGGCCTTCTGGCTAAAGCATGCTGTGCTAACACGCACCCCACTTCCCGAGTCCTCCAGTGTGGGGGTGCCGTGCCTTGACCAACTGCTGGGAAGGCCACTCATCTTGCACTGCCTCTCAGGTCTCCAGCGGCATTCAGACAAGATGCTCTGCTGGGTTATGGTGGGACTTGGTACAGAAAGCGTCAAGTGACTCAGTACATGATGACTCATGTGGATCATTGCACAGGATGGTTGGTATTAAAAAAGCTTCTCAGAAATAGATGTGCAAACACATGGAGAGGTGAGGGGCCTGTGCAGGTGTACATGTGCTTACACAAGCATGGCAGGCATACGTGTGTGGACATGGGATGTACCTGTATGTGGACATGGGAGTATGTGCACATGGTTGTGTGTAGTTGGCCTGTGTACACACGTGGGCATGTGTGTATGCATGCCAAAGATAGTATTTCTAGTGTGACCTTTTGACCTGATGGTCTAAGTGTGTTCCTGCAATACAATCTCGTCAGATTTTTCAGGCCCAGACTTTTTCAGGCAATATTGAAAAGTGACATAATATAAAATTTACTTCTAGATTGTTTGAAACTATGATTGTTATTTGGAAGAAGAAAGTATTAAAATAAATGTTTCTGTTGAAAGTTAATCAACTTGGATAAACCTTTACAGATTGATTCTGGTTTTTTAGTAAAATGGTTTTGGTCTTGGTGACCTGAGCCTATCCATGGTTTCATTTTACAGTTGGTTACCTGTGTCCAGTGCCACACGTGGGAAGCTAGTACTGTCTTCGGTGTTGTGGCTGTGGCCAAGCCACCAGCCCTAGCTGGGAAGCAGCCATGTCCAGCACCCTCTCATTCCTCACTGATTGTTTTGTGATAAGCTTGTACCTTGTAGGCTCAGGGTCTTTCCTGGTGTCTGAGGTGCACTGGGGGGCATTCTGGTATCTGGTATCATTGGTGTTCTATGCTTTGTGCTGCTGTAATAAATGAAAGTCATGATAAATAAAAAACATGACCAGATGCAACTTGGGGGAAAAAAAAGGGTTTATTTGGCTTACAGATTACAGTCCACCATTGAGGGACACCAAGGCAGGAACTGAAGCCGAGACGATGGGGTAATGCTGCTTACTAGCTTGCTTCCTCCTGGCTTGTTCTGCTGCCTTTCTTACACAGGCTGGGCCCTCCTACCTCAGTTAACAATCAAGAAGATGCCACACAGACATGTCCACAGGCCAGTCTGATGGAGGCAGTTCCTCATGGGGAGTTTTCTCCTCCTAATAGTTTTGGTTTGCATTGACAGAAACTATGACAACCTACAAAACTGTGAAAGGTCTTCTCAGTGTGTTCTGGTGCCATTATGTGTCCCATTTGAAGGCCTGTGCTCTGGGCATGGTTAGGAATTTTAGAGCTGATAGGTTCCTGCCTTAGTTCCCTCAGCCCTCATACTGTTTGCCAGAGTTGTGACCTGGGCCAGTATTGGCAATAGTGATCAGTGCCCTCACCCATCCGAGGTCTCTGAGTGTTGTTTGCTTTCACTAATCATTCCCTGAGTAGTAAGGAGGTACCATAGCAAAGCCCGAGGGACAGAGATGAGTGAGCTCAGGCTGTGCTCCATGGATGTTGTTCTCAGCACAGTAGTGTTTCTTCACAGTCAAGGGGAGTAGTACACACCTAGCAGCAGTATGGTAGCAACTTTCCCATGAGAAGGGAGGCCCAAGTCAGCCTTGTTCTGAAAGCTGTTGTCTGAGGAAAGGTCCCATGCAAGCTTCAGAGAGCTTCCCCACACTAAGACAAGATCTAGGGTATCCCAGGTTTGTGTCCTCCTGGCTGCAAATGATCCTGTCTTGTTTTCTGGCATAGAGAGAAAGAAACTATGCCGCAGGCAGGAGGTCAGGTCCTTGTGTTTGTGGAGGTCTCTTGCAGGTTTCATGATATGGGCCTGTGGGAGTCCTGTGCAGCCACTGCTACCTAGTTCTAGAAGGCCACAAAGCTGGGTGACCTGAGAGGGTGGCCCTGCGCTTGATGTGTGGGGGTCAGGGAACGGCCAGACTCCGGGATCTAGAGCCTGGGCTTCTGTGTGGTTATTTTCAGTTGAGCTGACCCCGCTATTGTTTTCAGAAAACAGCTTGGCGTTGTCTCTACACTGGGCCTGTAGTTCAAGGTCGGCCTTCTAAAGGGAATGGAGCTCCATGGCAGTGCTATGTGCATTCTCGCGAGGTGCTTGCTGGACTCGTCTTTGTCTCCAGGGTTCCCCTGGTGTACTCCTGGGCTATATTCAGTAGTGAAGGTTTAACCAGGCTTAAGTGCCTAACTGCCCACCCGCACCGCTCTCCTCCTGTCATTGTTGCAGGTCTGAGGTTGTGATCAAAGTATGTAGTGATGGGAATGCCTCGGTGCTGCTGCTTCAGTGGCATTTAAGCCTTTTTTGAGGGGGGCGGCGTTTCAAGACGGGGTTTCTCTGTAGACCAGGCTGGCCTTGAACTCACTGAGCTCCGCCTGGCTCTGCCTCCCTAGTGCTGGGATTAAAGGCGTGCGCCACTGCCACCCGGCTAAGCCATTTTTTTTCCTGTGTGTTTCTTCAAGTCAAGTGATTGTTCGGCTCACAAGCAAGTCTATTTCCTTTTTCTTGCCCCAGGAGAGCAGACCCTGGCAGGAACGGTGTTCTGGGGAGATGTAGTCACTGCTGGTTAACAATGGATCCTGTCCCTACTCTGGGACTTGTGGTTCTACTTGGCATCAGAGGAGAGTGCCATTTGCTATTGCTCTGGGATTGTTCATGTTTAGTTCCAGGAATCTCTGTGGGGCTGGGTGATGATCACTGGGTACAGGGACATCCCCCTTTGTCACTTGGCAGTAATGGGTGGATGGTCAATAAAAAGTAGTTAAATTTCTGCCAGGTGAGCTCAGGAAAGCAGCTGCTTGCCTCTGTACCTGGGTACAGGGGTCCTTCAGGAAGGCAGTAGGTTTTAACATCAAGTAGCTCCTGGGAGAGCAGGGAGCATGCCCTCGCAGCTTCAAATACCAGGCATGCTGGGGACAGTGAAGTCACAGAGCAACCACTTTACTAATGCTATTTGTGGACCTGCTGTGGATGTGGACATGGGCCTGGGGCTCTCTCCGGAATGTTAGGTCTGCTCTATGAGACTGTCAGTCTGTAGAAATAAACCCTTCTGTAGAGCTCCCAGAGGTACTAGTGGGCTGGTAGTTGTCACAGTGTGTGTGTGTGTGTGTGTGTGTGTGTGTGTGTGTGTGTGTGTGTAGGACTGGAGCCCTTCGAGGATAGTCTGCCCTCTACCCAGGCTTATGTCTCCTTCCTCACAGCTGCAGTCTTATGTGCCTGAAATCTTTTGCCTAGAGCTACAGAAGTAGATAGGGTCTCCACCTCTGGGTATCTGGGGGCAAAAGACCCTTAAACCAGGTGGTCTTGGTGCCATCCAGGCCCACCCGTTCCCATGAGTGCCACCCTGCCACAAACACTGCAGGGCATTTCTCCTTTAGAGTGGTTTTCCTTGCCCCAGATCGAAGCTCCAACCATTGAAGAACCAGCCCAGTTTCCAGGAAGTAGTTGTGAGCCACCAGACATGAGTGTTGGGAAGCAAACTCGGGTCCTTGGGAAGACCAGCAACCTCTTAGCCATCTCGCCACCCCGTTGTGTTTACTTTAAGAAATGGCATTTCTTGAAGGTATTCAGTAGGCACAAGCCAGAGCATGTAGGTGCAAGCTGAACCCTCCATCTCTGCCTTCCTCTGCTGCCAGGTGGTGGGTATTTTTCCTTGGATTGTGTCTGATGCCACTCAGGATGCCATGTGAGCAAGCCTGTGCCACTATGCACCAGCACTAAGTTGGCACTTCACAGCCAAGCTTTGCCTGTGGGTAGGATGGAGGTATAGGGTGGCTACCCCATGAGGAAATGCTTGTGAGACTTGAGGCTCCCTGCCCCTGAGAAGGAAATGCAGCCAGCACATAAAGCAGGTAGTAGGCTTTGAGGCCTGATGTGCAGTCATTCAGGTGGTAGAAGAGAGGGTACATCTCAGACCCCGGAGGCTGCTGGGCAAGCAGGCAGGGAGGAGCCATTGCCCTCTGGCTTCCTGGTGAGAGAAGTCTGGAGGATTTCACAGGAGGGCCCCACAAGTCCTCCTGCTGCTGCATGGGCCTGTGGGCCTCGCTGTCGTTGCTGGCCCACAGTGGGCTCATGGGAGTCCTGGAGGGTCCAGGCTTTGGCGCAACAAAGGTTGTCCTTTGATCAGCCATGTGTTCATCACGACTGAGTGTTCCTCTCCTGTGAGACTCCAGTTTCCTTGGCCCATTTTCACTCAGTTTTTATTGGGTAGTTCTTTCTTATGAACTCAAAGGAGTTCTTCAGAGACAGAGGCCGGAGCCTTCCATTGTGTGCACAGCAGATAGGTCAAGCTGTGGCTTTCTAGAAACTTTTAGATAAGGTCTCACTAAAAAGCCCTACCTGACCTGAAACTCACTGTGTACACCAGATGGCTTCAAATGAACAAAGTTGTCTTTTGGGTGCTGGGGTTCAAGGCATGCACCACCACATGTATTGTGTGAGCCGGGCAGTGGTGGCGCACACCTTTAATCCCAGCACTCAGGAGGCAGAGCCAGCGGATCTCTGTGAGTTCGAGGCCAGCCTACAGAGTGAGTTCTTCCTTTATGAGGGTCCTGTGGATCGAACTCT